GCTCATTCTATTTCCCTACGCAATTTGTCGCGTAATAAATCTAAGCTTCGTCTAATTACATCGCTGTAATTGATAAGAAATAATAACTATGATATATTCAAATAAACCTGATTAATGAAATAAATAATTTAATATTATTTATCAGTAATTGATCAGATGTATATTATAAAACTAGTTGAACTATTATTTATTACTATTCTGTATTGCATTATTTTATATATATTACTGTTCTGTCTATAATATTTTAATTTTAGTAGTACTTTCGTTAAAATTACTGTGTATTTACATTATAAAATTGTTAAACTTGTATCAAAATAAAAAAATTGAAATATTCATAGTCTGATTACCATAAAGATAAGTTAAATTAAATATTGCAAAGACAAATAGAATGAATTTCAGTCTATATGTATAGTTGATAATATCTTGTCGAAACGCTTTACTATTCTTTTCAATGGAAATTCTTGGTAATCATAGCGAAACAGTATTCGTAATTGTACGTTTACTTACACATAATAAGAGTTTCTCATTCATGAAATACAAAAATAGTATAAAGCCGACACTTTACACTCTAATTTTATGCGATAAGAACGTTCTATAAATACTTGCACTTGCTATGGCAACAGCAATTTGTATGTCCAATTTCATTCACATTTCTTGGTGCCAATTTGATTGCTTAAAGATCAATAATATTTCCCCCTTTGTCGATCGTTTGACACAAACAAAATATACATGATCTAAAGTGATAACACGTTTACGAGCATGCTAGGAAGGATATAGTCAAAGTCGAGTAATTTTTTATTCTGATCGAAGTTCACATAAACGTAGGTTGTACGTTCGCGAGTATTTGATAATACCAGTGCGTGTCAAACGCTAAGGGAAAAAAGAAAAGCAAATCGATCCACCCAGAGTGGACATTGACCGGCAGTGATACCATTAAACTCTTATACACAAAAGACGAGTTCAAGCTCGTCTTCGAAGACGTATGTACATACATTCGCAATTACATATTAATGTGAAATCTGAATCTTTAAATATTTACCTACAGTTTCTGATGCTCAGACAAAAAGCAATTCAAATTTAATGAGCTCTAAATTGTTAACCACGGTGGTTTGAGCCGTATAATTCTTCGAAGTTTCGTTAAAGTTCTTTGAACCCTAGAAGCAAGTAGTATTGAACTTATTACTATAATTAAAAATTAACTGTGGACTTTGACATGTCGTAAATAAGTTATGAATTAAGAGACGCCATTCGCTGACATGGCAATAATATCCAAAAACGTAGAAAGAGTACATACAATGTATTAGTATTTATGTAAACACTACATTTTAGATATAAACTATTTCTTAATGCCCAAAGCAAAGATTGAGAAGTTCATTGAAAATAGATTTACTTGTTTGAACTATATTTTCTGTAATAGATGATTTCAGTAGAATAAGCATACATTTTTATCATATTGTTACTCATTTTTTAATTACTATTAATTTACGTTTCAGAAAATTATAAAAATCACAAGTGTGTCTACGCTTTGAGATAATATTATTGTATAGAATTGATGCTAGAAAATGTTTTCGATTTCTTGAAAAATATTCTTCAGCGATTGATACTATCTTCGCGTCCTTACGCGCCAACAAAATAGGGAGACAAATTTGTTGGCCTTTTCTGATAATAGTCGATAACCTACATATTCCCTATTCTAATATATTACTGATGTAATCGGCACGTGGCAAAAGTACGTCAAAGGGTAAACTATAATACTGGAGAAAAAGTAGTTTACGCAAACTGCGATGAATTCTTTTATCACCTTTAAGCAAGATAGAGAAGGCAAACATTAATTGCAATAAATTGATTTTCCTCTTACGGTAATTGCAAGAATGCGTTTGTAAGAAACACCGAATCAATTACTGATTTCAATCGCCCTGAATTGCTTTGCAAACTGTTCTTTACTTTTGAATCTGAGAAGTATGAGGGTCTGTATTTTTTAAATGATTTTAAAAACAGCAAACTGATGTCTTAACCCCCTTCTATTTTCACACGGAGTATACCATATTTCAATTTGAACAAAGTCCCTTGCAAAATGCTTGCAACAAAGGAAATTGAAAAATCCAAAAGTGCAAGCAGCGAGGAAAGAAACTCGAAACCGAAAGTAACGATAAAACGGAAGCGTTAGAATTAAAATGGGAATTATTTTATTATCAACGTTCGTTTCATTATCACTTAACTGAAATTTCTAAAACTGTATGCATCATTCTTCCATCGTAATCATTTGTCTTTTGAAATAACCTCGTGAAATTTACAGTCGACGCAGAGAACTGACCGATGACTCAACGAACACTATACAACAACGTATTGTAATCATGAACAGTGAATGGTCACGACCCCGTTTCTTGATTATAAAATCAATATTTGCGATTTTATCGAGACCCAAAATCTCTTTGCAGTTAATAAAAATTGCTCGGTAGTAACGGTGATGGAATTATAAATTGTATCTCCACATCGAACATAAATTTCAAGAATTGCATTCTTTCAGCCCGCGACCGGACATATTAGACCCTTGACACAAATTGTATTTGTGATCGAGTCGACGAAAAAACGTTCACGCTCTGCAACGTCTACTATCGTTCGTACACTTTGACACAGTTTTACATTTTAGAAGCAAAAATAGCCCTTCGTAGACTGACAATTGCCGTTCCGTATGTAAACAGTTTCATCCCGATGGACTTCAAACATTCTGCAGATGAAATAGAATGATATATTATTTTATTTTACAAATTTATCGAAATAACTGCGTTTGATCGTTCTTGGTTTCGTCTGATCTACCTTCCCCTTGTCTGTCAGCTGCGAAAGTAATGATAATGCGTGTTCCGTCTTTGCCCCTAATTCACTTTACTACCGCAATTGTACCGTCTTCTGCACGCTTATGCTTCGTGTATATGTACAGACTGTCGTTGTGTCAGTCCTTCATGTGACGGGGCGATGAAACTTATAACGTCTCTATAGGGTGGCTAAACTTGCGGTCTATGCTACAAGACATTTCAACACTCCTGTCTGACAGAATTAGGCAAATTTCCCATATCAAAACTTATATGGGTCAGAAGAAAATAAGTTCTTTCGTAAATCTTGTCACGAGAAAATTAAGGAAATTAAATTGAAAATTTAAATTCGATGAGAACGTTTTGACTCGAGTTCAAGTTATTTTCAGCCTAACGAAGTACGAAAATATATGTAATATAAAAAAATGTATACTGTAAGAAATTAAAGATTGACGTAGGTTTGGCGAGGCGAATTTTATTTGCAAAAAACCCTTCTAATTTGCATAGACAGAGGATCATGGAGGTTGCCAACCAAAAAACTGTATATTGCAAGAAAAAAAAAAGAATAGTCCTGGATTAAGGGTAATGTGATAATTCGAATAAGTAGAACGTGGACATCGTTAGAATAATTTGACTTACAAAGGCTGAATATAAAATCTGACCTACTACAAGTTGCACGAAAGGACCTGTTTTTCCATAAACCACGCTTTCTTGCTTACCGTTGCTTTTAAAGCTTTGATCCACATCATAGAAGTTGATGCTAATTGAAGTTGGGAATTCTTTTGTTCTACAAAAACTTTTCATATGATTGATAGTAACCGAAATATCGACCAAATCAAAATTTTATCTCATTTAGATGTCGGTTAAAAGAACATTAGTGATCTTCAATTTATTGATTTGCTATTCTTGAATGAATTTAAATCTAATCCCACAAGTACTAATTCTATTAACAGTATTATTATAAATACCATATCAACTCTTTTATTATAAATTGAGTATTTTATGATATTTACTACTTAGTTTGTTCGATAAATCACTTTGACGTATAAAATCGATCAATTTTAGCTCGACGAACGGGTATTAAATACAATAGTGCACTGCTTAGGAAGTGCATTTCGTTGCAGTTAATTTCCGGTAACCTTATTCAAACGGATTTTCTAATCGTACGATTATATAAACGTTTAGTATTAAACTCTTTATAAATAACTGTTGAACTTGACTAGATATGTTACTAATTTTAATAAAAGGGAAAGTAGCTTTCGATTGAGATATAATATTATTAATAATTTGAAAATACAGGACTACGTACAGATGTACTGTATTTTCGACAAAAAGTAACATAGTCTTCTGGAAGATGATCATTTCATCATCCAGCGATCCATATGTGTATAATAGTAAGACAAATGTCAATTACGTAACACAAGAAAATAATTAGACACGAAATTATTTCTAAGAATAGTTGTTTTTAAGAAGATCATCGTAGTGTTTACCAAGAATATCTAAAAGACTATGTACTTGGAACGATCGTGAGTAAATTAAATTCAGTGCCCATAGAAAGGGTGGATATACCCGCCCTATCACGCGGTCTCGAGGAATGACTACCGATTTTCTTAAATAATTACTGGCTCGATAAGTGGAGTGGCTGCAAGGCAGTTGAGTGGATTTGAACTCATTCGGGCATCCTTGTAATATTTAGAAAAGAAACAAGCGAAACTCGTATAACGAGGTATCGATTTTATCATCAACCTAACGTAACCGGTAACATTCGACGATTATCGATTACGAACTGAATTATTATTTAATTGTCCCAGCGATAGAATTAACATATCTAATCTTACAGTTTCTATTATCGTATAGAATTTATTTGATTACACTGAGCGTAAACAAGCTTATTATTCTTCGGTTTTAACAAGATTTTCCAGATGAAAATAAATCCAGAAACGACCTTCTATGGAAGTGTACGAATTTCTAAAATTTGTTCATGTTTAGACTCTTCTTCATAATACAGTGTTAAATAAAAAAAAATAATTTTTATTACTGAGATCATCGTTCACACAAACAATAATTTTGTTACCCGAATCTGATGTAAAAATTATCATTTGACCACGGCAATTGCATTATCCTATTGATAGAAAATTGATGTAATCAAGTAAAGCGAAATATTAGAACAAATGATATTCTTTTTCCAGAATGCCCTTTTCAGGAGCATGGTGCAAAGTATGGATTTATTTCGGATTCGTTTTTGCATGGACGAAGGGGGCCCGTCCACGTTTTGATACCTCCACGGACATGGGCCTGGTTTTGGTCCCTTCCGATGCGGAAGTAGATTCGGTCATTTTTCGTCTTCGTGCGACTGATCAGGATGCAGACTTTCCACTTGTTTTCGAAATAACTGGTAACCGTTTATTTATAATATCGCTTCTTTGTCTTTTAAACCAAGCAAATTGTGTACATTATGCATCCTTTAATATTAATATGTACGAGTATGTTATTTCATCTCTTTTGCTAAATTCTGCAGAATTTCAGAAATATATCATAAAATGTACCCCTGCCAGCTTTCTTTCGTGTTTCTTTCCAAATTCGTTTTCGCAAAAAGAAATACGTTCAATTACCATCTAAATGCTCCTATTAATAAAATAAATACATATATTCCTGAGTCAATTTTTTGCCCGACGAATTGACCTATACCGGAAGACAGTTTTATCGATTAACTAATTTAAGAAGCGATCGTTTGTTTCATGTTGTATACATACTTTTTATTTGTTTAGCTACAATCACACCTGTTGTAAGGATCGACAACCTACCGTGCACGTTGTACAATAAAGTATGTCAAGCTAATGTGATTCTAACGAAACGACTAGTTGCCGGACGCCTTCACGATTTTGCTGTGAGGGTTAGGGACACGAAGGGTGACTCGAACTCGATGCAAGCTACTATTTCTGTTACAAATGCTACAACACCGCGTGATAAAATATTCCCGCACATACCTTCCCTCATAATGGTACCCGAGGTAATTATTTATCAGTCTAAACGAAATTTTCTAAGACTCGATTGTGAGATAAATGGCGGTGCAACGCTGCCACAAATCTATCGTTGCATCTCGACGTACGACTCATTGTATGATAAATCGTTGCGTTTATGGTTCCCATTACATTTATGTGATTCTACAGTCGGAGGATATCCGCAGCGTTCCATTTAGCTATCCCTCTACTGTATTTCAACTTCACATTTCAAGCTCTTATGGCATGAAATCAACTGTGTTTTCTGTGATTTATGGTAGGAAAAGTGACCTCGAATTTACCAATTGGTTTTTATTTGAGGTAGAGTTTTGAGAAGAAAGTACACTTGAGAACAACTCGTATGTGCCCTTGGAATTCTTTCAATTTTTTCTTTGTATTTTTATAAAAGAAACAGAGAGATCAATTGTGGGAATTTGACTACTTTACAATATATTATAGTCAATACCTTAGAATTATCACCAACTTCAAACATAAAAAGGAAGAAACATTCTATTGTTCGTGCAATGTCAGTTCTAAAAAAAATTACTTTCACAAACACTCTTTCTTTCTACGTGCAACCAGTGAAACGACCGTTTAAATTTTCAATTCAATTAAAACTTTAAACTCGGTTCAAAGATTGATTCTCCGTTATAAAACAGTTAAAAACGATTAGGCTTATTTGTTTAGGACACTAAGCCAGGAAAGGAACTGGATTATCTTCTGGTGAGAGCCAATTCCTGGAGCGGAAAACCTGTATACATCGAACTCTGGGTGCGTTCTACACATAAATAGTTTCTTTTGTTTATAAATAGCAATATTGAAATGCAATTCGATATCGTTGTTTCAGCAACCGAAGGAACTTTTCACTATAAGGCAGCGACAAACGCCCACGCAAACGCGAGGAGTTATTACTTTAATCGGTGAATTGGATTTTGAAACGCAATCTGTGTACACACTCACCATGTATGCTACGGTACGAAAGATTTGAACGTTTATTTTCATAAAATAGTGCTTAAAATAAAAAAAAATAAATGCTCTATGGAACGATTCTTTGACCCGTAATAAAAGTAAATTAGTTATAAGAAGCAAAACAACGAATATACAATGTCTACTTCCAGATTTTCTGCTTTTCATGACTTAATTTTATTGCTGTAGTGAAATCGTAGATTGGTACTTTCGTAAAATGTTTAAAAAGTCTCGAAATTGAATGTTTGATTTACTAGGACCCGTATACCGAGCCCGGAAAAGATACTAGAAATATTGCAGGCTTAAATCTGGTGGTGATAGTTCAAGATGTTCAGGATGTCCCTCCGATTTTTACGTTAGCTCCACCTCTCACCAGAATTAATAATTCTATACAGCCTGTAAGTACATTTTTTCTTAGATTTATCTGCCTTTGATATCCGCGTGTTAATTTTATTTAAAAACAAACTGTTCAACTCTAAAATACTCCGACCATAAAATTAACTTTGTAAAACTCTCTCTGTACTTTTAATTTTACCAATTTAATCCAAAGTTTCTCTAGATTTTATATTTTCAATTACCCGTTGGTTGTATACACAGCGTTATTTATATTTGAGTACACGAATTAAAAAATAACGATCTCGGAATACAAAGAGCTCCGAACAAATCTATTGATTATTAAATTCAAATAATAAACAGTTTATTTTAGTGTTTAAACGGACATTGTATGATATTAACGATATTATAAGAATATAAATTGAACAGATTCGAAAACATTTAAAAACAGAACCATTTTTATGCGAATTTTAGGGTGATATAGTCATACGAGTGCATGCTGAAGACGGGGATAAAGGAGTTCCGCGGGAAATTGTTTACGGTCTCGTGTCCGAAGGCAATCCGTTTACACCATTTTTTAATATTTCGGAAACAAGTGGTAAGAATGTATATCATGATTTTATTAGTAGCCTCAAATTGAAATCATTGTTGCAACAGAACCGATCGTATTTTATTATCTTTGACGAAGAAAACCGTAGCAACGATTAATAATCACGCAGTCACTATCTCTGCTGAATATTTTCCTAGCAGGTTTACTGTTACACGAAAGGCTGCAATTAGTTTTCGCAAAGATTACTGTTACACGAAACACTGCAATAAGTAAAGTGCACTAACAATTTTTCCCCAAGATAAATTAAGAATATCTTTTCCAAGTAAGGAGAGTAACACGCATTATAATCTGTAGCCATGATTGCAATTTATGACGCCGTTATTAGTAAATAAATGAACTGAAAGTACACAAGCGTAGACATTTATATGCACCATCGTGTAACCCGATTTCTCAAGATTAATCAAGTAGATCGCTAACCTTTGAAATTCATTTATCGCTTTGTTAATCGCCACTTCCAGCTGTGAAACGTCATGAAATGATTTATTTTAAGTTTACTAAGAAAAATAAATGTTTGTTACTCTAATCAGGCACAAAATAATTGGAACAATCCTCATAGTAATGAAAGAAATCTCAATACGAAAAAAAAGATTTCTGAAAAGAAAGCCTTTAATTTTTGAAAATGACTAATCCCACGGAATTAACTGTTTGAATCTGAAAATATTCAAAAGAAAAATTGAAATATTCTCCTACTTCTTAGTAACCTTATTAACACAACACAATTTATAACCACATACCACTTTTATCGTTTAAGCCAAAGGTTAGCAACCAGCTGCGTGCAGGTCTTTAGCTAAATTATTGCGGCTTTTGATCAGAGTTAAATTATGTAGATTACGTTTCCATGAAATCCTTCGTAGCTTAAATAAATGCATATTTTACCTACTATTTTTGCTGATTGCCTCGGTGCACTTTTTAAATTTGACATTTATGGATACAGAAATATGAACGAGTACGAGCTCGAGAAAGTGCCTGCATGTCTGTGTGCGTTTGTGTGTCTAGCCTGAAAGCATTCGCGTGTACGAAAAAAAGAAAAGATATAAGATTATTTGTTCTTTATAAATTTGTATGAAAATCAATATTTACTAAAAAAAATTGAGCTGTAATTTATTTGTAACAGAATATCGAATGTATGCAAGTTTTGTTACATTTTACAAAACACTTATGATTATAATTAACAATATTTTTATACCCAACTTGAACAATCAAAGTTTATTTCTGATATATTTTTCTGTCTTTCCACATTCTCGTCGTTGAAACTCTTAGCAATTTCTGAATCTTACTAGAAATAAATATGCTACATATTATGCAATATGTAATATAATAGATTCGTGTATACGTAGTTTGAAATATGCAAAACTCATGCATTATTCAGAATATGCAAAATGAAAAATTTATTTTTAAACCAACCCAACGACGAAACGAATTTCTGTCTCACGTGTTTATCCATTTTTCATAAAAATATGCATTTGCACGAGCATCAGCTGTCTATTTATAATTGTCCTAAAACTTTCGAGCTACAAATATTTCTAAGTCAGTGTATTAATGAAATATCAGATTTTCGTTGCGCGTTTTTCAAGATAAGGATTTAATATTCACGGAAAAATAAACAGGAATGGCCCGTGAACGAAGGGGTTACTTTTACACGCCTATTTTGCGTGCGTTTGCGGCTCGAGGGTGCTATCTACCGTCTCAGATCGGTGATAGCGATTTTTTCGCGGAACCAAAAATGAGTCAGGCGAGGAAATGGCCAGAAGTCGATAGAAGTGGTCAGAGTAAGGTCTTGACGGTCTACACCGTAGTATCGATCGTCCTTAGGGGTCAGTATCTGCTTTTCAGGCTGCGATGCTTATCATTTCGTGACGTGAAGCATGCGACCTCTTCGCAGGCGTGTGGGTGTGTAAATGTAGGCACTAGAGAGAACCGGTAAAAAGGAACGAATAGAGCCAGAAGGAATAAAGGAGATAAACGTGTCTGCTTTAGGTTGTATTATCGTTTCGAAACATTAACAGGCAGCTATAACTTTGCGTGATACCGCAGTAAAGAGTGTGATAAGGAGAGCCTTAACTTTTTAATTGCAGCTTAGAAATTTGTATTTATTGCGAAATTAGTATTTGTCGGCTAGGGAAACGGGTTTTCATTAGAAACAGGGGACATAAATTTTTGAATACGCAATTACAACAATGTAATTGCACAGACACGAAGACTATTGTAGGCACGCTCTCAACACGATCAATGTACGCATATAATATATATTCTGAACCGTTCCTAGGTAAGTAATTTGGCGTTCGAAGCAGAATGTTAATACGAAAAATAAAAGTAACGATAAATACTTTCGTACGATGATTAAATTAAAAACATATTATTTTACGAATTTTAATGGTGACTACAGTACGAGCACAAAAATTAAATTATATATATTTGTAGAGTAATATGATTTATTATTAGTGACTTAATTTGCCTCGAATATTATCAAGAATATTGTTATTATCATACAGGTGAATTATATTTCTTATTTCTTTCTTTTTTGAGCGTACTTTCGGCATTTGGTAATTGTACGATTTAACGATAAGCTTGAATTACAGGTGTCGTACTTGATAGGAGGGCTGTTATTCAAAACATGCGTGTGAATCATTTTAGGGTATCCTGATCGTATCCTGATTATTACGACTTGTTGCTTATGTCGTGTCAATGCTTATGTTTTGAAGTCACATAGCGTAGGGACGGATTGGAATTAAATTCAATTTCTGTTTTCGTATTAGTTCCACGTTTCTACTAATAACAGAAATTATGTTCAACTACCATTTGTAAATACATCCAGTTATTGCATCTAATGTTTCACACACAGTAACAAGGATTTTGATTGATAACATTAAGATTTCTTAGAACCTTTGTTTTAGAATTGCAATAAGAATTTACTGTAAGTAAGCATTATAAATGTTTGAAGCTTCCGTTTAATTGACAGGTGAAATAATTCTTGCCAGACCTTTGGAGGAACTGACGCAAATTACACACGTTGGTGCACCTGTAGTGCTTACTGTGGTTGCTGAGGAAATAAGAAGAAGCAGAGACGAGCCTCCAGCGCAAGCTACAGTCGTCGATGTTGGTTTTCTTCTCGGAGAACCGGGCAACACACCTCCCTATTTCGAAAGCGATAAGTTGGTACCTGAGACACAATTTGCTATCCAAATAAATACCAACGATTCTATAATATTGATTCTTAACACCTATCAAGTAGTAAATTAACTCAATTTATCCAAATCAAAATGTAGCATTTAAATTAAGTATGCAACTAATAGAATACTAACTATATGGTGTGTTTCTTACTATGAAAATGACAATTAAATATTTTATTTTCTTGTTATAGTTACATAGCTACGATCAATGAAAATTTAGAACCAGGTACCGTGATAAACTTTGGTGAACAATATTCGACCAAAGTGAAAGATGAAGATATTGGGAAAGCTGGGGTATTTGCATTGAAACTGGAAAATAATAATGGCACCTTTGAAATAAATCCAACGGTTGCAGAAAGGACTGCAGATTTCGTCATCATCGTTCGAGATAACACGCTCATTGATTATGAATTGCACAAAACCTTGTCGTTTAAGGCAAGCAAAACTTTTATGCAAAAAAGTAACAATAGCAAAGCTTGAAAAATTTTAAACCTTACTTGAAAACAAGTATTAACTATTTAATACTGTAACTCTAATTTTTCAAACCAATTTATGCTTCACGAAACACTATTAATATTGACTTCAACGTGCTTAGATCATTGCTCAAGAAGTTGGTCCAGCGACAAATCTCTCAGCATCAGTGCCAGCGATTATAATTTTAAGGGACATTAACGACAATCCACCGGTATTCGATGAAGAATCATACGACGTAACATTGTCTGAAAATGTCACCGCGGGAACACGTGTTGTTCAGGTAAAAGTACTTTTTGATTTCATGATTTTTGCAATAGAACGGTAACTCTATTTTTGAAGATATTCTTAAATTTCTTAAAGGAACAAGAACTAAACAACCCTCGATTCCTATTTTCTTCGCAAGAATACTTACAGAAAGAAATGAATTGAATGAGACTATTTACACAAAAGTATACGACAAATTCCAAGTGACGAAACGTTGCAATTATTTTGTTTTATAACAGGTACATGCAACCGATATAGATACAGGAACTTATGGCGATGTTCGGTATACCAGTATGACAGGCGAAGGAAGCAAAGCTTTCACGATAGATCCTGAGACAGGATTAATAACTGTGGCCATGGGATATTCCTTAGACCGAGAAGTTGCAGCGAAACTCGAACTAACCGTTGAAGCTCGAGATGAAAATGGCAACGGTAACAGCGGTGTCGTTCCTTTGATAGTTAATCTACTCGATGTCAACGATAATCCACCCTTATTTGACAAAGATGTCTACGAATTTATGTTAAACGCCGATTTAACGAACTTCACTACACCGGCTGTTATAAAGGTATATTCAAAGTTCTATTAAAATATCAATTTGTTTCTATTTTTTAACGTAAATATCGATTTACAGGCCATCGATGCCGATGCAGAGCCACCCAATAATATAGTCAGATACGAAATAATTCACGGTAATTACGAGAATAAATTTTATTTAAACGAGACTAGTGGCGAATTAATCCTTCGATCGGCGATAACGAAGATCAGACGAAAGAAACAGAGTGCTTACGATAAATTCGTTAAAAAAACTGAAAAGAAATTAATAAAAAATCAGGAAAGAATTCCGAATAACGCGATGAAAGTATTTATGGATGTTGACAGTCGAAACAAAACTGTTCCCAGGGTAGCTAAGGAAGTAATAAACGAAGTAATAAAGAGGCGACGAAAACGGGATAATCAAGATGCACTATACACGCTCACTGCCAGGGCATACGATTTAGGTAAAAGAATGAAAGATTCACTATTATCAGTAGTCTTTCTAATTTACCTACAATACAGTATTAAAAAAATTCTGAAATAATAATACTCTTTAAAAAATCAACTTTCAATCGTTTCTAGTTTCTCGACTAAACAAGACTTTGCTTGTCATTACATTTAGAACATAGTAGCAACAATTATTCAATGGCGACAAAATACTGAAGATATTTCGAAATCTAACCTTGCCAGAATCTTACAAATCAGTTTCAATATTGCCAGGTATACCCCACCTCTCAAGCGTAACACAAATTCGTGTCATCAGCGGAATCGCCATGGAAGCTCGAATAATGATGTTCGTAGTACCAGGAGAGCAACCAAATTCGATAAAAACTGCTGAAACTCTGGCAACCATAACTGGTGGCCGAGTTACGGTATTAGAGACCCGACCTTACACGCAACAAAATAATACAGGCAGTGCAAGTACTCTGGCTGGAGGGGGAAAAAGGTTAGAGATGCACTAATGTTAAGATACGAAATTACTGTATAAAATATTCAAGGTGTTCCCAAGTCCTGACAATTCATTGTGATTGAAAAATCCACGTTTGCATTCCTCTCTTGATTTCACCACTAATTTAAATCAACCCCGTATAGCTATTTACACACACATATTATACTCCCTGTTTGTAATCTCTTTAAAATGGAAGTTTAAATATTCCATTATAGGAGCATTATTGTAGCACGCGTCGAACAAACGGCGCCAGGTACACCTTTGGTGGACGTAGAGAAAATTCGGGAGACATTAGCTGCTAATGGCGTGGGTATTATCGGTGGCACGGACACAGTTACGACAATGAATGTCAGTGACACGAAAGTACCTGTTAATGGGATCCCACATACTAACAATGGTCAAACTATCACTAATAACAGCATCGTCAGTGTGCATAATGAAGAAGTCGTACGTATATACATACAAGTAGATTCCAGAGGCCGAAATAAGGCGAAAATCACAAACTAATTTGTTGATTGAGGCTTCGTTAAAAAGTTATTAACAAAATTATTGTTAAAAATTATTAATAAAATTTGCCCACCTACTCGAATTTTTGTTTCGAAAGTGCGTAGAAATTCGGGGGTATGTCTCTTCACCAAAAATTATTGTCATTGACCCCCGTAACCGAAAATAATTTTTTTAAGACGATTTGAAATTTTTTAATTTAATTTTGTAATAACTTTTTAATGAAGCCTCAATCAAGAAATTGATATTCTTGATTTTCGTCTTATTTTGGCCTCTAGAATCTCCCTTAAAACTTTCTCCCAGGGGTAGCCGAACACCCTGTATAATTAAAAGTATAGATAATCGATGTTAAACATTGGCGAAATATTTTTAATATCGAATGCGCAAGAATTAAATATAATTTTCAGACGGTGTACAAAGCAGAAAATAAATTATTGCTTTGGCTTCTGATCATTCTGGGCTTGCTGATGCTATTGGCCATAGCCGCGTTGATTATTTGTTGCATCTGTCCTGGATGTCCATTTTACATGGCACCTAGAAAAAGACGAGTGCATTCCTCGGAAACGTTGGTCGCGCGATCGGATGGAAGACCAAAACGACATCTTCATCGACAACCAGCGGTAGCTATCGATGGTAAGACAGGCTCATAATAAATTAATTTTTCCAATTGGAAAATCTCCTATTGGATCTAGAAGAACCAATCAAAGTAAATTATATTTACTTCAACAAATAAAGGTCTAACAACCGTGTAGTTGACTAAAAATTTGTAAAGAAATTGTATAATAATGACATTTTCGTAACGTTGAATTTCAGGATCATGGAAGGGAAGAAAGCAAGCATGGAGTGCTGACCCAACAAGGAGAAATTGGCAATTCAATAAAAGGAACGTAAAAAATTGTTCGCTTCCCGGGGATGTTGCTTACATTTCTGGCCAACCGATCGACATCCAAATAAATCACGAAGCTCCGAGGTTAAGAGACGCTACTTCTTACGATCATTCGAGAAAGAGTAGAATAGACGAGCAGGAAAGAATGTATATGGAAGATGTCGAGGGGCAAAAGCCAAGAGGCTACAACCTGACCGAATTCGATTCTTTGCAGAGACACGATATGGACAAAAGTCCGGATATACAACGCCAAGGTTACAGGCAAAGGTAGGTAAGCTGTTACTTAGAAATTTTTTACTACGTTTGTAACGTGATTAATGTGTTATACAAAGTATCACAAATGTTTTCTCTTGAGTATATTTTAAGATCACGGAAATCGGTGATATAGTTAGTATTGTAAATCTTTAATTTGATTCAGATCTGGTCCAAGATTCGTCGAGCCCGACATGAACGGGGAATTGATAAGGGAACAACACTTTTACCGCGAAGGAAACGCTGAGGTTCTAAGGTTGGTGACCAGAGGACAAGTGGAGGATACCACGGCGAGTCATCACCATCACCATCATCACTGTCCGACAACTCTGATAGTCGATGGCAAGGACATTATTCTTCAGAGGTTCATAGAGGATCAAAAGTCGAGGCACGAGTTGTCGATGCAGGACATCGAAGCAGCTCGTGTCATGGAGTCCCATCAACGATCGAAGGACATCTATCAACAACAGCCGCCGGAGATAATTCTGGTGCCCGACAGACTTGAATTAGGTCACAGACAACACGTAGAAGAAATAGGACCTAACGTACAGAGGCTCGTGATCGATCATGGTGATTACGAATCGCCAAAAATAGAAAAGGAGTCTCAGACAGGTGAAACACTGAGACCAGAAAGGCAGGATGATATGGTGATTGGCCCTATGATGGCCGACAGACCGTCGGTCGTTACCAAAGAGCACGTGCAAATTAATAAACCACAATACGCCTATAACGACATGGAACTGGCTAAAGAAAAAGCTTTGCTAACTCGATTGTTACTGAAACGAGAAATTCAGCACACGGAAGGCGGGATACTGGATTCTGGAAGTTACTTGGAGACTCAGAGCCTTCCTGGACAGGTAGCCATTGCTACTCAAACCGATCGGACGGCGGCCACTCAGACGGATCGTCACGTGAGAAGCAGAAGCGACAACGATGAATCCGACGAGGATTCGAGGCACAGGAAAAAGCTGAAATCGCGAAAAAAGTACGGCGACGGGGACTGGAAAAGATCTCGGACTCTATGGATGAAATCACCGATCGAGGAGAAAAGCAGTCCTCGTTTCGACAAACGGCTGAGCATTCTACGGAAAAAAGCGAAAGAGGCGAAGGACGATAGAAAGATCTCCCTCGAGCCTGAAGTGCTCCGAGAGATTTCGGACTCTCTAAACGGGAATGGAAGTTCCTATAAAGGAGAGGAAGAGGAATCGATGCAGGCTCGACGAAAATCGACCGAACAAACCACCGTTAGCTACAAAATATTGAACGAAAAGGAGAACGGATCGTCGTCCTCCGTGGAACTGTCTAAGAAAAAACGCGAGAAAGTTTTCGAAGGGAAAAGCTGCGAGGACGACGATCTAAAAATGAACGGTACCGAGTCTACTTCTTCGCCGGAAATAAGAGTTAAAAACGAGAAACACAGTCGCGAGAAGGCGGACGATAAGAGTCCAAAGAAAGAAGTGAAATTGAAAGCGCAGAAGAAGTCGGATGGCGTGATGAAGCCGAGTTTTCGGATTCTCGAAAAGGAATTCACGCTATTTACTAAAAAGCTCAGTAAGCTGAGCGACAAAAAATGTCAAGAAAGTACTGGTAGCGATAGCACAAGCCAAGAGAAGTTGGAATCAAAGGAATCTAAAAAAGACACGGATTCGAAGAAACAACCGAAGAAAATTGACGTTTCTCAGAGGCAGGCAACCGAATTTGCGCAAAGTACAGCGAAATCTGAACAGAAAGGGAAACAGAAGAAGGAGACAGCTATAGCCAGGACGAAACAGAAACTGAAATACCAACAGTCTCACGTTATGAGCACCGGAAGTTCAGAGTACGACGATACTTTTGACAAAACGAAGAAACAGAGTGGTACTCGGCAGGAATCCAAGCAAAAGCAGCCAATCGGTACACAGGGCCACGCGAAGCTGAAACGTCAAACACACGTCGACCGACGGGAGCTTAAAAAACAAAGCTCTGAATTTCGTAACGATGATATCGAGAAACGGAAGGACTGTCCTACAAAGGAAACCTTAAAAACGGAATCCAAGTTCGAAAAGACTGGTAGAATGGTAACGCGAGTTTCAAAATTAGCTCACGTATCCCGCAAAGATAACACAACCGAAGAAACGAGCACCGATACGATGGCAAACCAACCGGAAGGTAAAGCAATTACACCTGCCCCATCGGGGATTGAAAAAAGAAGCAGCACGGATTCTTCGAGTACAGAATTCAATGGCGCGCACCGAAGCAGAAAAGCCGTCGCTGAAAAAGCGATTGAAAGGTTCAGCGATGACTTCGTTTCGCAATCGAAAATGGAAAGCACGGGACAATCGGATTATGCAGAAAAAGGACAAAATGTAAAAAGCGTAGACGAGAAAGAAACAGACGGCGAAAAAAAATCTAATACCGATGTTAAAGTAGAGTCGATAGAAGATGGAGTCGAGGACGCGAAAGCTATTGAGAAAGAAGAACAAGTAGGTACAAAAAGAATGACAGAAAATTCTGAAACATTGTTACATGTTGCGGAGCAATTAATTAAAAGTTGCGTAGTTCCAGATATACAAAGGAGAGAAGAGACATTAATTAGGGCTAGCGTTGAGGAAGATAAAAAATCGGGAGACGAAATGACGCCACCCAAAAGTAAATCCACAACCTTGGAGGAACCAACGCAACCCAAGGAAGAAAATGAGCAAAAAACTGATGGTGAAAGTATTAAAGAATCGAAAGAGAAAGATGAAGATCATCGAGAAAGTACGATGAGAACTCCAAGTCCAGAGAAACCAAGTCAACGCAACGAAGAAGAATTAATTGATAGTGGAGGTGTGAAATTGAGTATTAAAGATGGAATAGACCGAGAAAAAGATGAAGTAATGAGAGCAAGCCCTGAGAAATCAAAGCAATACACGGAAGAAAGCGAACAGTTAACTGATGCTGGAAATGTTATGAAATTAAATGTAAAAAATGGAGAAGATAAAGTAATACCTGATGGTACAAAGGAAGTAATGGCAGTTATGGAAGATACGTCAGGAAATGTCACGGAAAAAGATGAAGCGTTAGAAAGTGCTGAAAGTCAAATTGAAAAAAGTGAGAATATAGAGAAGGAACATAAACAAAAGAATGAGGTATCAGATGATACAAGCAAACAGTTAGAAGACAAAGCAAAAGATTTGTCAGAAGACACTGGAGAAGAAGGTACGTTGCTAAAAGAAGAAAAAACAGAAAGGGAACATGAAATGGCTACAATGTCATCGAAAGAATCGAAGGTAGATGTATTACCAAGCGATGCTGAAATAATTACGGAAACAAAAAAAGATATTAAAGAAAAAGATGATATAAAAGAAACAAAAGAAAGGAAATTAGAAGTAGAAAAACCAGCAGAAGCAGAAAAACCAACAGAAGCAGAAAGTAATGATAAAACTGAATTAATACAAGAAATTGAACAATCGGTTGAGGATCCAGAGACTGAATCGTTAAGCATTGAAAAGGAAACTCCACAGGAAAATGTAGCAGCAAACCTAGAGCCAGAAAAGCTTATGAAAGATCCAGAATCTGAACACGATGATCATGTCGCTGAAAAGGAAAAGGAAGAAACACCGGAGATTATAAAAAATGATTTTGAAAAAGTAGACGTTGAGTTAGATACAGGAGAAACTTCTCATAAAGAAGAAGAAACTACTGGAAAAATTAAATCAGATGAAGAAGCCGATTCTTTACATAAACGAAAAATTTCTGATGCAGCGAAAGAAAATGATGATCCTAAAATTGATGATAGCCAAACTCCAGATATAGAAAAAGGCACTGAAAATGAAAAAGAAGGATCTACAGCAAAAATAACAAGTGATGAACAAGTTATTGAAAAAGAAGTTGATTCACCAGATAAAGAAAAAGAAATTTCTACGGTAATGATAGTTGACGATAATGAAATTAGTGATAAGGAAAATATTTCTTCGGACAAAGAAAAAATTCTAGATGAAGGAGTAGAAACTATTGTAATAACTGAAATCGACGATGATCATATTAGTGAACACGAAGATATTCTTTCTGTTGAAAAAGAAAAATATATAGTAGATGATACAATTGACGATAGTGAAATTAATGGAAAAGAAAATATGATGTTAGACGCGGATAAAGTTACTGATCCAGAGGAAGGTACTGTTATAGAAGAGATCACAAGTGACGATCAAAAAATAGATGTACCAGAAAATATTCGTTCAGACGAAGAAAGAGAAAAACATTCTGAAGAAGAAAATGGAACAAAAAAAAATATAAATGATGATTCTCTAATTAAAGAGCATGAAAACATTTCCCCTGATAAAGGAGAGGAAAAGATTCCAGATGAAGGAACAGAAATTATTAAAAAACCGTCAACAACTGACGACCATCAAATTAATGAAAAAGAGAACGTTATTCCTTCTGAAAGTTCAGAACCTGAGGAGCATCTTATCAGTGAAAAAAAGAATGATGTCCCAGAAATGGAACATGATGCTAGTCATGAACAAGATATTTCAGAAACGCCTGATGTTATTAAGGATAATTTAAGCGAAAAAAAGATTGATTCTTCAGAAATAGATAAACAGTTTATTCAAAAAGATGATGTTTCTCCAACGGATCCTGCCTCTGACGATCATGATAATAAAATAGAAACATCTCCCGTAAAAGAAGCACCCGATAACCAGACTAGTAAAGAAGGTATTTTCTCAGAAATGTTTAAAGCCTTCCACTCACTAGCCGATAAATTTACGGGTGAGAAAAAGTCAGTAAACAAAAGCAATGAAACAGATGCTGAAGGTCATGAACTCCCACCCCATTCTCCCGATAATGTTAATAAAAAAGAAGCGTTTGCATTACCAACCGATGATACAAATAAAGATCAATTAGAAACTTCAAACGGTAACGAACCATCTAGTGTAAAGATGGATGACCAATCTTCAAAAGACGCGGAAGAAAAGACAAGCGCTGAAAGCACGGAGGAACAAGCAAATAAAGACACATCCATCGCGTCTGCAGATAAACAAACTGTAACTTCGCCGAAGAAAATAATTGAAGGTGATTCAAAAACCGATACAGTTACTGAAATAAAAAAAGAAAGCCACGAAGAAAGCGGAGAAGGGAGTGAGATGTCAGAAGAGAAACCCAGAACGATGGAAGAATCTGACAAGTCTTCAGGCGATAAACAATCACCGGTACGGCCAATGCTTGAAAAAATGGGGGATCAACGCGATACATTGCAGGATAAGAAGGATGTTTTACAGGAAACGACATCAAAGGAAAGCACTACCGCAGATAGCGAGCTATTAGGAACTAGCGAAAAGAAAAACGAGCCGCACGAACCAGCGGGCGAAGTGAGCAGCAATTCTCACGGAATAGAATTGTTTCAAACTCCTCCTCTGACGTCCGAGACGCCCACGAAAGAAAAGTTTGCATTAGATTTCATTATATCAGAAACTCCAACAGATTCTAGGAAAACATCCGAGCCTGAAAAGCAGGTGAATTCAGAGAGCGAAGAAACTAAATTACAAGAAGCAGAGCAATTTGTTGAGAAACAAACTTCTGCCTCGGAGAAACAGCAAATGCAGCCATTTCTAGGTCAACAATCGCGCGAAGAAGACAAGTTTCTAATTTCTCAAGATGATACGAGTAGACAGGATATAATTAATGAGAAAACGGATGAAACGTTATCTTCGGAAGAGAAGGGAGAAGCAAACGTCGAAGAACAATACGCAGACGTAAGCCTTCCACTTTTTACAAACATAATACAGTCGATGGACGATTTAGACGACAGTGATTCATCGAGTGATATTTCCAGGAAGACGACGCTGACCACCCGACCGTATCAAACACCAAGACACCGTGCACGGCAGTCTCCCGAAAAAGAAAGCATTGATATGCAGAACATGGAAGACGAAGAAGATACATCGTTAACGATCGAACTAATGAAAGATGAAGATGATAGAGCGTTTCAAGAAACTTATGATAGTAATATAGAACAACCTTCTCCGACAACTCTAATTAGAACAGTAGAAGACGAGCACACAGAATTTAATAAAGAAAATGAAACACCTTTGAATATTCAAATGGCGCTCAGACAACAAGAAACATTAACTGACGTTGTCGAAGAAGTCATCCAAGAACAAAGACAACTAAATCCAAAGACTCGTTTAGAATACGATGAAGAGTCTTCATCTAGCGCGAAACCCACAAGGAGTATAAAGTTACAATCTCAAACAAAAGAACTTGATCGACCGCAAGGCGCTGAGAAATCAGCAGTTTCCAAACACGCGAGACCTGAATCTCTCAAACCGGGCGAAAGAAAGATGAAAGCTGCAGAAAAGAAAAGATTTCCGTTGCAAAGAAAGAAGAAAAGTTCTTCCGAAGAATCGTCCGAAGAGAAAGCGGCTCATTTTCACGATCAAGCGCGCCATGTTCGGCATCAGCCTCGCAAAAAGGTTGTCACTGATCGATCGAAGCAAACGGATAGCAATCACGCGGCACAGTTGAGAAAAACGGACGGTGAACAACAGCGAAAACAGTCCACGTCGAAATTGAAATCTGAAAAAGATAAGAAGGGGTCCGGCAGCGGGGAGAAAAATCCAACTCCGCCGAAAACTGGCGACAGTAAAACGCAGCCTAAATACATGGCTTGGTACAAGAAAAATCGGGAAGAAATGGAGAAGAGAAGGGCAGGATTGAGGGCTGTGGATGACGAGAGTCAGCTTCCACGATGGCTGAGGAGGAGCATGAGAAACCAAAAGTCTGATAACGAAATAAAGACGCCAGATCAAGCGAGCGCGAACACGACTCCGCGAACGAGACGCAAGATTAAACCGTTAGTGAACGTCGAGTCCGAACAATTAAAAGCTATCGTACGTCAGGGAAGAAAGCTAAGGAGAGCCGAAGGTGGAAAAAACGAAGATCCACCTATTCAAATATTTGCATCGACGCCACCTACAGCGTCAGCAGCGGACACCAAACACCATCTGGTGCAACATTCCGAATATAAGTACGAGAAAGTACCGGCGCCATTTTACCTTCATCCTCCACCCGCGCCTCACCCATCGCCCCAATTGTCGCCAGAACATTTTGACGTTCAATCGTCGATGGAACATGGCCACGTCGATGAAGACTTTGATTCGGGAATAGCCATACCCCTTCAAGGCGGAAACAGGTTAAGACACCAACAACTTTTAGAGAAGAAAAGCGTATTCGATATCGCCTACAGCGAAGCTGCGCCATCGCAACTCCGTGCCGACAGCACTACACCGCCATCATAAATTCGCAAAAACCTTAGTCCCGTTTGTTCTCGAATATAAATCTTTTTAGATGCCTAACGAGACGATTTTTAAATCGTTTCAGAGTTGATTATTATTCAGGACGAATTTTACTAAGGAATATTTATAATTAAAAGTTTCAACTCTTTGCGGCACTAAAATTGGACTAGTTTTCTGATTTTTTCACTAAATGTGGAATGGATATTAAATCGTGCTGCAAAGAACTAAGCTAAAACTAATAACATATTGCCAACCGATCGGGATATAACCTACAACTAGAGATAACACTAACAGGCAATAAATTCGTTTCGAAGAATATACATATTTATGTATATTTAAGATCACTTGTGCTGCCACAGTGTCGATTCTGATAGTTTCTTTCGAACTTTGACTGACAACGAGCACAATTTATTATACCATCTTCATGCAAATAAAAAAAATATTTTCATTAGATAAAAATAATTGTTAGTAATATTGATCGAACTACATACCAAATCTTAACAATTTTACATAATCAGAATCGATGATTTTTTGAGTCTAACTATCAGGAGTTAAATAGAAATTTAAGATAAGCCATGTTGTTTGCAGTTAAACAAAAATTGGCAACTGGCAAAGTATTAACTCCAATACAATTAATTTCAAACTAATAGAAACAGATATTTACATCCAATTGTTGGGAAATGTATAGAGTGTGCTGAATATAAATGCGAACTTATTATTTGTGAATTATTATGTCTGTGAGAAATGAAGAAGGGACTGAAATTAAACTGAATCACGTCACGCACAAAATGCAGGGTTAACTCTAACTTAAACGTAGATTTTGAAATATGTTGAAAATGAATGATAGATGTCACATTCTATGACGTACTTTTCATTAGAAAATAAAGTGAAATATATGTGGCAGAAGTGAAAGAGCAACTAATTAGATTGGTCGTTGTGAATATCTATATAATAAAATATGTGTACGTATTTACCAACGAAATTAATAAAATCGGTTGAAATCAAATCGTAATGGAATAACATATTTATCAAATTTTACACAAGTTGTTTACAAGTATGATTAAAAAATATAAATTAATTATAAGTTCACGGTTGTTTTATATAAATATTGAAAATGTAGAAAAGTGCGTATGAACCAAACAGCGTTGTTTTGTCAGTTATGCAATTAATTGTTCAGTCAAGTTTATAAAATAAGAACATAACAATATCTCGAAACAAACGTTTGCTGGTTTTGCGGTTATTTTAGAATAGAAATAAATTTTTTTATTAAAATTAAACATTTACAAATTAAAGTATATACGTTTTATAAAATCCATATTACTTCTTTTCCGTCTAAATTAAGCACGGAATAAGATAGAAACTTTAACAAAAATTTACGATTGTGATCAGTTACAAGAAGTTTATTTCTACATAAATATAAATTCATTATCTATTTTATATAATGTATTTGTTATTTCTTTTAATATTATATTAATAGTCCATCTGTTACTGATTGAGTTTTTTGGTTCTGTTAAAAAATAAGTAAGAAATCTTTATCTTCTCGTAAGAATAAATACTATTTATATAATTTATGACGTTAAATAATGTAGTGTCGTAGCGTTCCAACCGTCCAGAAAAAAAATCAGCACATATCGATCCGATACGCCGACCAATTTTTTATTATAACTGTTTCTCAATATTACGACGTTTATAATTATCTTGTAAATACATATGTATAAAATCTGAAACGATTCTTTCGTTCATGTACTTAATCCCAGATAAAACTTATATGAATCACAGATATAATGAAAACTGTTTTATATTTTATCATTATCATTAAATAGTAAATACAGATACGAATGTTAAATTTTTGATAGTCTGTACTTTATACCTCATTTAGGATTTATTATTATTAAATTTAATTTGATAATATGTTTATTTTAATACTACGTTACGTTTATTGCATAAGTTCCTAATGTAATATTTGTTTTTATTATATACATTGTAATAATAAATATTTAATTGTGATAAAAACTTCTTGTAATAAATCCAGGTTAATTTAAGACTTCCACATCATATTTGCCATATTCTTGTCTACATTTTCATTACCGTCAAACAACCAGAAAAATATTAATGCTATACTGTATCCACGTATCTGTATTAACAAAGAAAGAAAGTGATTACCCTCTTAACGACATTGCAAAATTTTTATAAATTCGGTATCCTTTCTTAAAGTTGACTAGTTAATGTTCAAACTAGGAGTTATTGTATTTTTTGTGAGTGTTTCAACTAGTAACTAACATCACGGAGTTGTCAAAAACACTAACTATAAAATGTGTGATATCTTGCTTATACTTGCTTTCATAACAAAAGCATTTACTACATAATTTATTGGAAATTAAATTGAGATACTTGAAATGCGGGCAAAGCAACAAGTAAGACCCAGCAATTAGTCTTGTACATAGTACATGTTTATCTAGATAAAAATATTGGAATACGTTTCAAGAATAACAGGGAACCCCGTCACCGCAGACAGTAAATTTCAAGAACACTATCCATAGAAGACTTAATTTACATCTTGTTATTCGTATATGGCCGCTAACACGTCAGCGATAATTATGTATTTGCATCAATAGCGTCGGAACAAGCTACTACCTTTCCTGTTATTCTGTTATAAAAGTATCCTTGATTCCGACCTTACCAGCTCCGCTATCTTTTACCAACCAGTTATATCAGCGCACGATACGCTCGATGGGGGTCCGAGAGATAAATGCAATTATCGATCATGAGTTGTCGATATTAAAGCACAAACGAGGTATACAAGTAGACCTTACACCTTACGAACTTTCGTGACCTAAGCTGACTGCCATACCGACCTAAAAACTGAAAGGTGATTTTAGCGTCCTCTTCCCATGAATGGCGGTCAATCGAGAAACTATTTACTGAATTACTGTGATGGGAACACAGTCTGTATGAGAATGGATTTCATTTAATAAATGTGAGTTACGTAAGAAGTATACTTGTACATGTCAAAACTGAGGAATGTTGACACGAGAAGGAAACGTTATCGTTGGTATCGACGATAGAAATGTTTAGATTAAGCTGAAATGCGTATCAATGAGCGAAATATTTAGGTTTAAGTCGAAAGGCGTTCAAGAGTCCACCGATGTCGAATAGTTTTTTATAATATTAAATAATATAGTTATATAGTTAAATTAGAAGAGTTCGAATATATGAATCAACCTACACGTCAGTTATCCATTCCTGACATCTTTACAGTAGACTGTGAGAGAGGGAGTGAAAAAGGTAATCGTAATCGTTTCTCCAGGTTGTGGAAAACCACAGCTGATACAGCAAATCATCTCCTTCATGATTCCTTGACTCAACCCTGAAACGTAAACGCAAACAAAAACCGTAACACTAAAAACAATCGCGATCAAATTTATATTATTTACAATGAGCAACGCGATTAGAATTCATATTTCGCAACGCTACTGCAAACCGAGATTAATGTTTACACGCAATTCTACTCTGGAAAAGCAAATGCGAAAAATCGCTCGCGACTCTAAGTGGAACTATACAATTAATGCAAATTATTTGCAACTTTAACTAAACAAAGAAACGCGAATATTCGTACTTCGCAACGCTAATAACAATCCGCTATTAGCTTTTATTCGCGACAATACTATGAAAGAAAATGCGAAAAATATTCATCGTTCGCAACTCTAGCAGCAATAATATATTTATATTCGTCGCAACAGTATCCTCGAAAGAAACGCGAACATTCCTATACCGCAACACTAATGCAAACCGCGATTTGTTCAAAAATACTAGACGTCCTCGAACAAGTGTCATCTGAAAAACTATTAAACACTACAACTACGAGCGAGTATAGTGAGAAAGTAGAAACACAGAATGATTTTCCATCCTCATCCGAAGATGAGGGTGAAGAACCATTTGTTGCAGCCCACTCTTCAGACAATTTGTCAGGGCCTCTTCGACTCATTGAGCCTTTTCTTTCTTCGGCGGTCCTGTCAAAGCCTGAAACTTAAGCCTAGTCTCGAGATTCCGTGCAATACACAGTTCTTCAACGATTCTAAGAATCGTTATCGGAACAGGTGTGGAGAAACTCGAGCGGGACGAGCGATTCGGGGAACCTACCGCGAACGACCGCGAACGCGAAGAGCGACTGTAAAGCCGTGAGATTCCAAGGCTTGAAAGTAAAACCAAAACAAACGGTACAAATCAGCTTGACTTGGTTAACGTTTCGACTCTCAAAATCCCTGACCCTACCTACTTATGTCTAAACACATACACCAGAAAGTAAGTTACCTACCTACCTAACGCTATATTTAAAAAATTGCAAAACTCATTCTCTCAAACATACACTCCACGGTTCTCATACAAAATGTTCGGGCGCGGCCAAAACTAGGGAGGACGCCCCGGGGTTCCCCCGACACCCGAAAATTGCAAACATTCACACTCTAATGTACGTACCAATTCCTGAAATCAATTGACAAAAGTTAGTGACCATTGCGTATTTATATTATTTATAAAAACATTTTTATAGAACGAGTCAATGCAATATAGTCTTTGATAAAATATATTGTATATAGAATAATTATTTTAGTTTCTGATGATTCTTGTATGTAATATACGTATTTTATTCAGTATTTTATATTATATTCTTCGACTATGCAAAAAATATGTACACGATAATACCAACAATTATCAGGTAAACAAACATAAAAGTTTAATATTGTTATTACAATTGGTAGGAGGGTAATGTTACGAAATAGAATTTTATTTGTAAACTATAATTAACTTTTAAGCGACGTACTTCCACAGCCTAAGCACACGCACACATATGTGAAAAGTACGTCGTGCACGATTCACTAACCAATGTGAGCCGCTAGTTAAGTATATTATTATAAATTGTTATAAAGTAAGTCATCATGCCCATTGCCTTCGCTCATGCAAGTAGCGCCTGGGAAATATTAACCTGAAAATCTAGAACTAGACAA